TTTGGGGATTTTGAAGGGAAAAATAGAAATTTTTGGAGTTTTTGAAGGGAAAAATGTAATGTCGACTTTGATATTACTAAAATTCAACACACAAATACAACAAACAATCATAATTAGAAGCAAAGATTGCTCTTAAGCTCACATTATTCAATTAAGGGTTAAAACTAATAATCTTTTAGAAATAATTTTGGAATATTTAGGATCTCATAAAAATCCTTCAAACTTATAGTTTGAGCTCAAACTTAATGATTTATAAAGGTATTGGAAGTATGAAAAAGTTTTGAGAAGTAAAACACTTGAAAACAGGGCGAAAAATGTCATTTTTGAATATTTTGATACATGCGCTATGGCTCATGGCCCACGCGTTATTGCATGTGGCACAGAGAGGCCAATTTAGCCACTATACCATACGTCATGGCTTGCGTGCAATGTACTGCAGCTCATGTGTCCTGTCATGACAATAAAAATGCTATCATGACAGCTTTTTAGAACAAACTTCAAACGAATGCCATTTTCATGTTTGATGTCTGATTGAAGTGATTCAAGCATCCACGCAAAGTTTATTCAATAAGCTAACTAATGATGCAAGTTTTGTTATGATCTGACACAGTATAAGAATTTTAGATACTTGGATGCAAAAGTTAGTTTTCAAAGCAATTTTTAAGCATCCAAGTACCAAAAACTCAAAACTTATATCATTAACTCATTTTGAGGCTCGAACCAAGTCCAATAGACCAAAATACACCTAATTAAGCATTTAAACACCTAAAAAAAATACCAAATATAAAATTTGGCCACTTAATGCCCATTTTACCTAACATGGCTAAAACACAAAATCAATACCACATACACCATTTAGTCTCTATTGCCACATAATACACTACATATACATTATCACCACATGTATACAACATTCCTTGCACTTGTATTAATATTTTAGCCCATCACCATAAAAATCACTACATATTCACATCATATACAATGTTGGGTTAAAATATAAAATATCATAGTATAATACAAGTGCAACCAATCAAAATGATATGCATTCCTAGTTGGCAACTTATGCTATCATCCATATAAGTTTATATACACAACTTAAAATAAAATCAACCTTTACCATGGTAATGTAGCAAATATGCTAACCTTTGCATGATTCCTTCCCTTGCTCAGACTCAATGATAGAACCTGTAAAATGATAACCATGGGGTAAGATAAAAATTTTAATAACTAAGATAATCTACAATATCAATTAATTGTAGAGTAAGGAGAGTAAGTCTCCAACACCATACCCTTTTTTGAGCACTAAGGAGAAATATGAGCTACACCTGACATCCTGAGGTGCCAATAGTGCTATATAGACTTAATCTCTACTAACTCCACTGGGGTGACCTCTCACCCTTTAATATGCCACATTTCACTACATATCTCCACTTGACTATGCATAAATTACTTTCTAAACTAACATAATGAATCTTACCATTTATTTAAAAAATAAGACATTTTGTAAATCAATACTTCACTTATTTTTTAAAATAGTAAACTTTTACAAAATTTATACATATATACATAACAAATCATACAAGAACAACTTGAGAATAACTTATACAAGGTAATAAATAATGCAAATTATCTAGTTACCTCAACCCTTTTGTTACTAAAAGGTTTACTCATGGTACTAAATCTCTTCTTATGTCAAGGCAAGTTTTCTCACACCACAATCTATATCAACAAGTACTATATGTTAATTTTCAATTAATACAAGTACTAGTAGCTATCAATAACATCCTAATTCTCTCACTTCTCACTCATATTCTCAACAAAAAGTCTTGTCAAGATTACAACTTGCTCACACAATCTCCTCAAGCCTTCCTCTCACTCTATCACAACATAATACTTAATATATCAACTTATCACACTTCAAAACTCCATGATCAAATTATGACTTGATCTAACTCTCACTAAACAACAAAGTAACTTCATATTACCAATTATCCAAGGTTAAAAAACTTAGATCAATCTTTTAGAATCAATTTAAATTTTTAAAACATAGACCCATAGCTTAATCCATTCAAAGAAAATTCTCCCACTTCCAAATTCTATGGAACATGAGATGAAAAGATAAAGGAGATGGATAGAAAACTTATTCAAAAGTTTGAATGTCTAATTTAGCTTCAAAATCCTTTCAAAATGATGCCTTAACAGTGCCCAAAGCCTTTTGCTTCGTGTCCTAGGTCTTTTCCCCACAAAACTGCCTTTTTTATTGATCTTCATTTTATGTTGTTTGTGTTATGCCATGCACCGTAGTGCACAACGCACAAGCCGCGGCTCACGAGCAGCAAGAAATATGTCATTTTTGCTCCCCTTGATGTCACCCGATTTGATCCAACTTTCATCCTAACTCAATTTAGAGTCAAATATGACCCAAAAAATCAATTAGAAACTTAAAAGTATAATTAAATTAATTAATAATCTTTTTAACTAATTTATCCCTTGATTAGTCAATTTATTCCATATTTAAAACTTTTTAAATGTTATAGTTCTCCCTTCCTTTAAAGGAATTTTGCCCTTAAAGTTCAACAACCACCACATATACCTACGGAAACAGATAAGGATACTGCTGCTTCATATTATCCTCTGTCTCCCGAGTAGCATCACCAGGAGCTATTCCTTTCCACACCACCTTAACCAGCCGAATAATTTTGTTCCGTAATTGCTTATCTTTAACATCTACTATTCATTCTAGCTCTGCTCGATAAGTCATATTCTCTTCCAGCTTAACCTCTTCGGGTTCAACCACATGAGATGGATCAAGTTGATATTTCTTCAATTGAGAAACATGAAAAACATCATGAATCCCAAATAATTGCGGTGGCAAAGCAATTTGGTAAGCAACTGGCCCAACTTTCCTGAGGATCTTGAATAGACCCATGAATCGAGGAGACAATTTCTTTTCTTGGATTGACCTCCTGATTCCTGTCACAGGCGAAACTCCTAAAAAAACATAGTCATCGACCATAAACTCCAATGGCCTTTGACGTCTATCTGTATAACTCTTCTACCTACTCTGAGCCATTAGAAGTTTCTGCCTTGTTATTTAAATCTTTTGCATCTTTTGATCTAAAATATTCGGACCCATAATGCTTCTCTCACTCAGATCAACCCAACAAAGAGGAGATCGACATTTCTTTCCATATAGTGCCTCATAAGGAGCCATCCCTATATTAGAGTGGAAACTATTATTGTAGGCAAACTCAGTCAAAGGAAGATGAATATCCCAGCTGCCTCTCAGTTCCAAGGCACAAGCTCTTAACATGTCCTCTAGAGTCTGTATGGTGCTTTCTATTTGTCTATCAGTCTGTAGATAATACGCTGTACTGAATCTTAATTTAGTACCCATTGCTCTCTACAATGCTTTCCAAAAGTTCGAGGTGAACCTCAGATCACAATTAGAGACAATGTCCTTTGGCACCCCATGTAACCTCATAACTTCTCGAATGTAGATCTCTGCCAACTTCTCTAATGAATTACTTAATCGCACTATCAAGAAATGGGCTGACTTTGCTAACCTATCTACAATCACCCCGATAGAATCATGACTGGATTGGATTCTTGATAATCTCGAAATGAAATCTATCACACTTCTACTTCAGTATCTCTAGTGGTTGAAAAGTTTTTGCTGGTCTCTAATGCTCGATTTTAACCTTTTGACAAATTAAACATCGAGACATAAAATTTGTCACATCTCTTTTCATTCCAGGTCACCACCAATACCGCTTTATATCTTAGTACATCTTAATTGCTCCGGGGTGAATTTATATCTACTCTTATGCGACTCATTCAAAATTTTGTCTGTCAAATCACCCTCATTTGGTATGCAAACTCAGTCCCAATAGACAATGAATCCATCATTATTGAAACCAAAGTTTGTGGTTCGCCTTTGTTCCATATCTTCCCGAATTCCCAATAGACACTCATCCTTAAGCTGTGCCATCCTTAACTCTCTCCAAAACTCATTAGTAATTTCTATGGAATGTAAACTATACAAAGTTAATTCTAGTAAGTCATGCTGAATATCCAAGTAGGATTTCAGCAATTTGTAATCTTGCATTATTAGACAAGCAACATGCAATGATTTTTGACTTAAAGCATTTACAACCATATTTGCTTTTCCTGAATGGTATTTAAATTCAAAACTATAATCCTTTAGGAACTCCATCTACTTTCTTTGCCTTATATTAAGTTCCTTCTAATCCACTAAATATTTCAAGCTCTTGTGATCGCTAAAAACACTGAACATTGCTCTATATAAATAGTGCTACCAAATCTTTAGTGCAAGCATGACTGCTGCAAGCTCTAAGTCATGGGTCGAATAATTCTCTTCATGCGGCCTCAGCTGCCTAGAAGTATAAGCCACTACCTACTCATATGCATTAACACACATCTCAGACCCTTTAGAAATACATTTGTATACACCTTATACGGCAATCATGGATTAGGAATAATCAACACTGGTGCCGTATTAACTTCTCCTTTAGCTTCTAAAATGCAACTTCACACTTATCGTTCCAAATGAATGGCTGATCTTTTCGGGTCAACTTAGTCAATGATAAAACTATTTGAGAGAAATCCTAAATAAATCTGCAATAACATACTATCTCAGTTACTGACTAGGTTAGAATGAAAACTGGAACAATGGAGAGGTCGGGTCACCGATTCATGGGTTGACCTGGCTGGTCTGGTCTGATTTTTCAAATAATGCTTCCATTTAAAAATCCTAACACAATCAACCAATTTTTTTTTTTTTTAAAGAACATGAGGTGAAGGCGGGTTAAGCCTTAAATAAAATATATAATCATTAATGTTGACCAAAAAAGAAAAACATCATTATCATTATCATTAATATTTTAATAATTAGAGTGTAAGGTTTATTTTATTTATAATCGAGCAATTAAATTAAATTATTACACAAGTAATGCGATTACGAGCCATGGAGTCGAATCTTTTTTATCTCTGCTTCGCTGCTTTCTGCCCAAACCATATTATTAAACAGCAAAGCGGTCACTGATTCACTGCTTTTCTGCTTCATCGTCATCGATAGAAATGGACTATCTTCTCTGGAAGCTTTTGCCTCTATTAGCACTTATCGTCTCCTTCGTAGTCTTCTTTTTCTTAGAGGATTCCTACACGGCCAACTTGTTTCATATGAAAAAGGTCCACTCTCTCTTACACAATTCGTATACACTCTCATAGTCTCATTGCAGCATGCGATGACTTACTTTTGACCAAAAGTTAGACTGTTTTAAGTATTGAGCGAACTTTTGGTTTCCATTTTTAGCTATTTTGACAAGTTGTAACTTTTGAGTTCTACGTCATCATTTGTTACTAAAATGGTCAGAAAGCGTGGAATTAAGTGTTGGGTTTCTCCATGTTAGAGTTAGAATATCGATTTTGTTATTCTGGGGTTGAATGATGTTGTTGTTCTTGTAACAGCCACCCCGTGAAGAGTGTAGCTTTCTTCCCGTTTGCCATTACTGGATATCCAGCAAACGTATTGTGACCCCGCAAGGGGTTATTTCTGGTTCAGGTTATTGGTTCACCCTTAATCATCTGAATCTTCTTTTGGTTTTTATATTTTTATTTTTAGCTGATTCCTTAAAGTTTTAAAATATATATTTATGTTTTCCATAATACTAGAATGTGGAGAAATATATGAAAAGAATACGTATATCTAATCACTAATCAGAATTTACTACGTTGTCATTAACATGATTTTGCCAATGAACTTATAAATCATGATTCTGTATTATTTTTTGAAGATGCTTTTTTAAGAACCAAAGATGAATAAAGAATATGAAGACAAGTAGTCTTCCAAAAGAAAAGATGGGAGGGAAAGTAAGAGAAATTTGTTCGAACCTTCTGTGCTGTGCTTCTATGCATTTAATAAATGAACTCTCTGAAAGGATTCATGAGCAGAACTCTTCATATATAGAAGCAAGGAAAATTATGCTATCTCTTGGAAGATGCACAGTTAAGAACCTCTGGCTTAAAATTCTAGCATTCTGCTCTGATCAAATCCAAGCAGAAAGTCACAGAACTTCAACATTTTCCACTTTTTGTTCTACCAAAACCTTAAAATACAAGAAGAGGAAAAACACTTTGAACTTGGATGAATAAATCCAATATTCCCTCGGAATGTAGAATAATAAATAATGATCTTCATATGCCTAAACAAATATAGCAATGCAAGGAGAGATCGAAGCATATAACATAAAGTTGACGGATAATCTGGCCTAGATTCTTGTACAATTTGTAAATTTTCTCAGATGTTTTGTATAAATCCTTTTTAATCACAACCATTTCAGGGAGGACTGTGGTTACTGTTGACTAGCGTTTTTCTTTCTTTCTTTTCTTTTTTGATAAATTACTCTTGATCAACTATTGTTGTTGTAGTTCTGAAGCTTTCACGGGATTATGATTTTTCACCTATGCTGATTGATTTTCCATGAAAAATCGTTCAATGAAACAGTGGAGATAAATGAGGGGAAGATCATGTCCATTGTTGAAGGAGATAGTAAGCATGGGAAGCATATGCAGCAACAAGTAATTGACTATGGAGATGCGGTGATCATGCCTGGCTTAATTGATGTGTAAGATATGCATGCCATCTCCTCATGTGTTATTTATCTTTTATTCAGTTCTAGTCGATAAACAGTGTAATTTATTTAATAATGAATACGTATTGATTTATGATGACAGTAGTTCTGAGAAAACTGTTGAAAGCTGGGTTGAATGTTAACATAAAAATTTCTTATTTCACATGTATAGCTTTTTTTTGGCCCCGGGGGGGGGGGGACCAAAAATTGAGTTTAACTTTTCAAGTGTTCTTTCGTATAGCATTTTTTTCATTCATTGGGCACATGCTAGAAGAGCTTACATAACTTAGAATTCAATGGAAAGCGCAGTTCCCAAGCTGTATGGTTCTGTTTCAAATTTTCAGTAATGTTTACAGCATTCATTAGAAGTGGAGTTTGTGAAATATAATCAGATTGAACATGAGATTCTTCCTGAATTATCCTCTGTTACTCTGCTTGTAGCTTATGTAATATTTAGGATTTAGTTTCCTTAGTATTGGAATTTATCTTAAAGATTCCTATTGTGGTAAAACAATGCACTACATGATTAAAAATCATGTGAGAGCAACTCGAATGATGGAATGACTACATTCATAGGTGTTTTTAGAATTACGTATGAGGTCAATGCTCACTAAGAGTATGATAAGTAGGAGCTTAACAGGGGATACACTCTCCTCTGGATTGAGTTTCTTTTTTCTTATTTACTTTATTTTTTATTATTATTTTTCTTTGCAATAACTTCAGCATCATGAACAACAGAGGTGGAGGAAGAAGTATAAAATGTTATTATATCCATGGTTTATTTATCTAATTATCTTCTAAATAAAGAGTACACAAGTTATTCAGCAACAACCACAAGTTTTTTCAATTTTTTTTTTTGGGGATCAAAACCACAAACTAGTTGAAATAAAGGAAATAGAAAACAGTATCTGACAGCATAATCTGTTGATGCTGGAAATGTTTATAGTTTTACTCCTAATCCAGATTGTTCCTACTGCCTGTCTACTGTTAAGGAGGTGGATTTTCTTGGATTCTGTGCAAAGTACTGGTAGTGCGCAACACGAATATCAAACAGCTAACTTTTGGGTTAACTTGTTTTTACTAGTGAAGGAAACAAATGTATTAAGAGATTTAGGGGTACCTAAATAAGTTAAATAGATTCTTTCCTCAAAATCAGTGAAAGCTTTTGGTGCTTGTTACTTCTACCTTTTTGTGATTTCAGAACACTTTCTCATGGGGCCTTGCTATTTCTTCTTTTCTCCTTCTCTTTCATTTTTTAAATTTTACTTTTTCAGGCATGTACATCTTGATGAGCCAGGAAGAACTGAATGGGAAGGATTTTATACTGGGACAAGAGCTGCTGCTGCTGGTGTGCAGATGTTCTTCACCTATTAAGGCTTTTTGCAATGCTTCCCTTTTTGCCATTAATATGTATAACTTTGACCTGTGCTCTCGCTCTGTTTCTAAAGGTGGTGTAACAACAGTGGTTGACATGCCTCTAAATAATCACCCAACAACAGTGTCTAGGGAAACATTGAAACTTAAGGTATCTTTGACTGAGCAATTGTTTGTCGCTTATTTTTTAAAAAATAATTAATAAGAATAATCATGGCAGGAAAACATTTTATCACTTATTTTATGATGAATCCATTTATATCATAGAGAGAAGGAGGCACAGTTCCTTCCAGATACATTAATTTACTTCTTTGAGGCGTCTAATGTTCTAATATCTGGTAAAGCTGTCTTTTGTGGTATTGAATTTAAATCCCTAGTGAGTGACTGTTAAATTTTTGTGCCTTCTCTTTCCTTAACATTGTGTTCCATTTCTTGGTTACAGCTTGAGGCTGCTAAGAAGAAACTGTATGTTGATGCTGGTATGATCAACAAACTATACTTTGGCATACAATCAATGGAGTTTCTGAAAAAGTTTGGCATTGACAGGTTTCTGGGGAGGTCTAATTCCTGAAAATGCACTTAATACGAGTATTTTGGAAGGTCTCTTAAGTGCTGGGGTCCTTGGTGTCAAGGTAATGTTAAAAAACCTATTCATTATTAATGTAAATCTGTTCAGAGGCCAAGGAAATGTTCATAATGTTTAATTCTACTTCTTTGGACAAGTCAAATTTTAAATTAGGCACTTTCTCTTGCATTAATTCAGTGCTCACTATAATACTGAGAATCTTTGGAATCTGGACATGTCCAGAGTCTGCCTCTTGATATATATCTTTGAAATGGTTCTTTGTCATCATCATGGGGTTTCTTGAACTACTGTGCCTATCAGTCTTCTCAATGACCATTTGCCTTCCCTCAAACCCACATAAATTTTTGGGATTAGTTTATGTTTCATGTTGGAAGCTGTCTCATGCTGCTCCTTCATTTTGGCACATACCATTATTGCTTCAAATTTTAAAACTATTGTCAAGTGACTTGCCTTCCCTTCCCAGCATTAGCGCTGCTGTTTTCCTTCCCCTTTTTAAATATGTATGCTGATGGCTACCATACTTTGATACAACAACAACAACAACAACAACAAGCTTTATCCCATTAGGTGGGGTCGGCTACATAGATTATATGATATCATTATGCTCTATCATTTATCAAGCTTTTCAAAATATTATTAATTAAAAAGTCTCGCTCAACAACTTCCAAAAGTATTCTTTTTGATTTTTATCTACCCTTCTTGACAGAGCTCAAAGTTAGGCTACCATACTTTGATGTGACCCATTTTTCATTTTGTGTTTGCACTTTGCAGTCTTTCATGTGCCCTTCAGGAATTGATGACTTTCCTATGACAACTATCGATCACATCAAGGTATGTACATTGCCAAAATTATAAAGATAATAGTATGGTTTATATTAATTCATTGTAATTCTTCACATTTGTTTGCATTCTCTGTTCCTGTTTGCTCACCAATTATTATGGTTTTGGATTGTGCTTTGCTTGATATGCAGTGATCTGCTTGCACAGGCACACGCTTTTATGTCATCAATAATTCTCCTAGCTAAGACTAATAGTATGAAGTTCCTTTTCCTTTGTTGGATTGTATAATACAATTGTTATGATAATTTGATTGGTAGGAGGGACTTCCTGTGTTGGCCAAATATAGAAGACGTTTACTTGTGCATGCTGAGGTTCAGCTGAATTCAGGACATAATTTGGAACTCAAAGATAACGATGATCCACGTGTTTACTCAACCTATCTCAAGACTAGACCCCCTTCATGGTAAGACATTTGTTATGGCCTTGCATTCTGAAGAAATGAGCTTTGTAATTAGAGTAAAAATATTTTCCACTGTAAAAAATTTGTTTTACTGTGGACAATAAATTGTTACTTTCTCAAATAAACGGGGAAGCCTATTCTTAATTTTTCATGATTAATAGTAGTTCTTATTTTTTATAACTTTGTGATCAAGGCCTTGGCTCCGATTGGTCCTGAGCCCCTTTCTGTGAGATTTTACATTGTAAAAAGGATGCCTATGACCTTTGCTCAGGATTCAATGTTCAATGTTCTATCTTTGAATGACAACTATTACTATTACTAAAATATCTGTGGAATCCCCCTCCCCCCCGCCCAAAAAAAAAAAAAAAAAAAGGAAGTTTAAGTCCAGCAAAACTTTTGGATGAGCATACAATCGAATATTTTCTGTTGGCTCACTGCCTATTAAATTTTCTGATAAATAAAAAAAAATCTTCATCTCCACTTTCAAACCAGGGAGCAGGCAGCTATTAGAGAACTTGTAGGGGTTACAGAGGATACTAGAACTGGTGGTCCTCTAGAAGGAGCGCATGTTCACATTGTTCACTTGTCTGATTCAAGTGCTTCCTTAGATATGATAAAGGTAATATATGTTTTTTCATGTGGATCTACCTGTTCTAAATCTATAATGTATCACTCAGAACCTTTTTAGAAATGATAGGAAAGCTTCATATTAATAAATAGAACATAAATGCAGTTCTTTACTTTTTCCCTTCGGGAAGTTCCAAAAATATCCCTGTAGAATTTTATTGTTTGTTGACTGTCAATGAACTAATAAAAATTGTTGGTTTGTAAAATGAAATAACATTCTTTTGAAGTAAATGAAAATTGTAATAAAATTATAGGATTCTTAGTTAAACTACACACTTGAGCGTGAGCTACTTTCTAGTAATTAAAAGATAAAATCCCATTAACAGCTGTAATTTTGATAAATCCCAGACATAGATGGTATATTTTTTCATCATAATTGCTGTTCTGTAAATGAATCCTACAAAATCCCTGTTCACTGATATGAAATGATCTTTTCCGATCTAATTTTGTTCGTTCTCCTTTTCCTTGTTACAAGATCTTGTCAAACTTCTCACAGTGGGAGAGCGCTATTTTTATGCATTGATATTCTACAGGAAGCAAAACATAGAGGTGACAGCATTAGTGTTGAGACTTGCCCACATTACTTAGCTTTCTCATCTGAAGAGATAAATGATGGAGATACTCGTTTTAAGTGTTCCCCACCGATTCGTGATGCATCCAATAGAGAAAAATTATGGGAGGCTTTGCTGGTAATTTTATCTCCACAATGCAGTTCAATATCTTACATTTGTACATTAGTTATCTGTGATCTTGTTAGTCTAATTTGTTTTATTCTTCATCATAGAAAGGAGACATCAACTTTTTGACTTCTGATCATTCACCAACACTGCCAGAACTCAAGCTTCTTGATGAGGGTAACTTCTTGAAGGCTTGGGGTGGCATATCGTCTTTGCAGGTTGGTCACTTGGTCTGTTTATCGATAAGTAAATGTTCATCCCTATGTAGCTATGCCCTTTAAATGAAATCTAAAGGATATCTGGGCTTCAGTAAACAATGTGGCATACCTTGAGTCATCAACCTTTTGATTTTTTATTTGTGGTTTTTGCATGAATTTGAAATTAATGAAAATTAGAAAAGCGGATGTTTATGGTACTGGAATGTTGTAATATTATTCCAATGAATGGAAATTATGTATAAATTTATGAGAATTGTATTCACATCCTCAAATTCCCCATATAATGGGATAAGGCTTGTTCTTATACTCACATCCTTGAATTTTTACCTACATTTTTTATTTATTTTTAATTACACTTGGTTTTGTTTTTTGTTTTTATTCATTAATTACTAGTTTAGTAATCCAGCTGTATGATTCAGTTTTTTATACCATGCCACAGCATATCTTTTTCTGTTTTTGGTTGGAGAGGGGCAAGGTGTTTAAATGCCTTGTAGTTATAAGCAGCTTTCTTTTCTTTTCTTTTCTTTTTTGTCTTCCTCTGAGAATAGATCTGATCCTTCTTCCTTGTAACATTGTCCTTTATCTATAACAAAATAATTCTTTTTGCCAAATTAAAAAAAAAAACAATTAAACCATAGATTTTGGGCCAACATAAAGCTCCTTTGGGCTGCACTGAGGAATCATGCTAAATTTTTATCAGAAGCCCACAGGCTAGTTTCCTTGGATCAGCTGAATTTGAGTTATTTTCTTAGAAATATAACTCCTATTATTGATTTGAACACTAAAGGTTAACTGGGGCTCTACTGGGAAAATTGTAGTTGGTTCTTCCAATAACATGGTCATATGGACAAAAACACGGAGCAACTCTGGAACAACTATCATTATGGTGGAGCAAGAGACCTGCAGAATTTGCTGGATTAGAATCAAAGGTGATATGGTTGCAGTTTCTTCCTTTGCCGCAGGTTTTATATACTATAAATGAAGATAGTGTTTCTTTTGTCTCTGATTCAGCATGCTCTATAAAATGTGATTTTGATCTTTCTTAACAAAGGATATTCATCCCTAATTATTTAGTGTTTTTGCCTATTGAAGATAATTGCTGCAGTATTTCCTTGAAGCGATAAGTTCTAAATCTAAAAGAAGAAAAGCATTGTGCTTTTTACGTCAAAGCTTCACTATGACTGACTAAGATAGCAGCCCAGGAGAAGGTTCATTAACTGTTACTAGAAGATACTATCATGAAATGAAAATAATTCCCTACAAATTAAAAAGGAAAGAAATTTGATGGAGAACAAATGAGTATTCGATGAGAAGTAACAGGATTTATGGAATAATGATACCAGCAGCGTCAAATCCACCAGTGGCAGGATTGCTTTTACCCAGAAACAGAAACTAATGCAGAAAACTTCAAAATTCTTCCATAACCATTCACTCTGACCCCTTTCTTTTTAAACCTTTCTTGGTAACAGAATTGCCAATACAGTGACCTAAAAGTCACTTGTGTCCCACTCCCTTCCGAGCCATTTCTGGCCATGCCTTGTTCGTTCCAGATTTTTTCTTCCCCATTGGGTTTCCATCATGTTGGCTGATATTTTTTCTTTTTAATTTACCCCAAAAAGCTTCATGGTAAAGCTTTTAAAGATTTATATCTGAATTGTTCGGTCAACCACTGTGTGCTCCCTAGAAATTTGTTGCAGGTTCAAGTCGGACTAACTTTCCAGTTTTGTTATAGGGAGCCATTGAAGTTGGAAACCATGCTGATATTGTAGTGTGGCAACCAGAGACAGAGTTTGCCCTGGATGACAAGTATCCTGTTTTCATTAAACATCCTGTAAGTTTCAATTCTTCTTTTCCTGTTGTTAAACTCATTCTTTTTTTCATGTTTCAGTTGTAATTATTTTATTATGGTGGCTTTCTTGATATAACATTTGTCCATTTTCCTGTAGTATAGAAATTGCATATATGTAATTCGACAAGTGAAGTTGGGGAAGCCTTGTCTTTGACTCTCATCTAGTTACAAAGAAGAGTCAAGGGCCATCTCAACTAAGAGAAACGAACCTGTTAAGCCCTGGCACATGAATATTTTTTTAAATATATGTAATATATATTTACAATCCCTAAGATTTCTCCTTACACGAAAACTCATTAGGCTTTTAAGTGTATAGGCAAAGCAAAGCCTCAGCATATCTTACATTGAAATCTCATGAAGACTAAACTCTTGATTAACTTGATTATAGTACTCTCTCCCGTCCTATTTATAAAGTAGACGGGGGGATTTTTTTGGTCTTGTTTATATCTTGTGTCATTAATTTTTTATTACAAGTTTTTTCTTTCACTTTCATTAAATGTTGATAAACGAAAGTACATTAATAAAGTGTATATATTTAATAGGGGTAAGGTTGGAAACTTATTAAATGTTTAGATAAAGTTAATAGGTATTAAGCTTTTTTCGGGTTCCAGTGAAATATGTTGAAAGTGATTTATAAATAGAATCGAAGGGAGGAGTTCTAATTTAATGGGAACGACTAAATTGAGTCAAAAGATCAAGTTCCTAAGTAAAAGCCTATGAATAATTTTATTATTGACCTTTAATATCAGTCAAATTCATTGTTGTAAATTCCTTAACCAGTCCGATCTGATCTGATCCCAGAGATTAGCCTAACTCTACATTGCAGTTGGTTTTATTAATAAATATTGTTCATAATTTTACACGCAGAGCATCTCTGCCTATATGGGAAAAAAGCTATCAGGACAAGTGTTGGCGACTTTTGTGAGAGGAAACCTTGTCTTCAAGAATGGGAAGCATGCTCCTGCAGCCTGTGGCGTTCCGATCCTTGCTAAGTGAAAACTCTTCTAACAAACTCATCAAAGAGTCTCTGGTTCTGTGGATACAGTTCTGGCAGATTTGGCTTGCCTTGCCTTCATGCATGATGAGAAATATTGAGAATGTCAAAGTTGTGTAAAATTATCTAGATGTTCAGCATCTGCAATAAAAGTATGACGTGTGTATGTAAAAATAGTACTTTGACTTTATTAGAGAAGTTGATAACAATATGTAAAACTATTACCCAAGGTTTGTACTGTCCTATGTCAGCAAGAAGGTCTCGATCTGGTATTCTTGCAGCATTTTTGTATTTTGTGTAATTATGTTGACATGCAGGGGGCACACACACATATATAATTTCTTGTAGTATTTTTTATGGGTGAAGGGACAAAAAACACTCACCAAGTGATTGGTTAAAAACATCTAATAGCCTAAAGTGAAAAAAGGATAAAAATATTTATAATATTATCAAATTGATACAAAAGTGATTGAACTGTTAACTTGCCCTGATCAGGAGTTTTTGGTGTTAAATACTGGCTATGATATTGACTGTGTTTGTTATGTGCCAATGTTTGCTAATGCGAATTTAAAAATAGACAAAAATGCCTATGAAGTCATTAGGCAAGAGCATCCAGTAGTTTAGTGAGAAAAAAAACAAGAATATTCATAATGTTTTTTTAATAAGTGTAATGGTGATTAATCTATCAAATTTTTTAAATAGTAATCGTTTAACTAGTACTTAAGTAGAAGTTAACCATTTTTTGCTAACGTGAACAAAAAATATTTTTAAGTGAAATTCTATAGAAGTTGATCGATCATTGATGAATATCATGTGGGAAAATATTGTTTTGACTGAACAATAAATTAAATCGCTTGTTTATTTGTAGCAGTGTTGGAAGCCAATTGATGATTTCGAATCTCATTGTGAACAAAATTGTTTAAGGTTGTACTAATGTTTTTATCTCATTGTATTGAATCTTGGGTTTTACAGACAAACAAAATGAGTAGAGAGGAAGGAAGGAAGAAGGTAAGATATGTGGCGATAGCAAGAAATCATATGGTATGAATTTTGACGGATTTGTCACTATTGTACTTATTAAAATAACATTATGGATATTTTTATCATTTTCTCACTTTAAACTATTTAATACTCCTGACATATGATTTTATATGTATTTTTGCCCTTTTTTTTCGTGTACGTCAACAAACATTAACACATGGCAAACACAGTCAACATTTAACATCAAAAATTAATGAATATTAGGGCAAGTTAATGGTTTGATCACTTTTGCATCAATTTTGATAACGTTATGTATATTTTTACCATTTTTCTCACTTTAAACTATTGAATGCTCTTAACTGACCACTTAGTATGTATTTTTTGCCTTTGCTCCTTTTGTATTTGTGTTTGGATCCGTAGATGTGGTGTGTGTGTGTGTAATTTCTTAAATATTGGTTTCTTTTTCTTGTTTTGCACATGCCTCCTTCTATTGGATACCAATTGTAAACATATCTTTTAATAGGAATTCTAACTTTAATCTGCCATGTTATTATTTGTTAGAAACTAATTTCTTTCACTATACTTAATTCCTATTGATAAATATTGGTTTTGAAAATAATATTTATGTTCGTTATATACTAAAACTCAAATATAGTAAAGAAAAAAAATATACCTTTTGGTTTATGAATTATTTTTTAATTATTGATTCAAAATAACTCAGTTTCTATACTTTCTTTTAGTCCCAAAAAAATTCTATTTTTTCTTAACTTGAAACATCTCAATCTTTGTACTTTCTTGATTCAATATAATTCATCCTCCCTAATTTCTTAATTTAGTAAATTATAACAATTACGTTATATTAAATCACATTTTAAAAATTAAATTGATGATTGAGAAAAAAATGTAGGTCATATTATCCACATAATAGAAAGAAAAGACATTATCTAAAGAAATTTTGCAAAAATATCATCTAATATAATCAAAATGGCCGTTTCTTGCATGCTTTCGTAACGAACTAAACTGAAGCTGATGGGCGCGCGCAGACGTAGAAACGTCGTCGTTTATTCATCCGATTCGAATGGCCAAGAAGACGAACGCTCATCCTATCTCGAAACCTCGGTCATAGATCCCAATAACCGAGCGAGTTAGACTCGGAGGAACTCGACCCTGGCGGTTCGAGTCAATTTTCGCCTCCCCTTTGTCTGTCTATCTGCAAATCATCCAATGGAACTCAGCAAGCTCTTCATTTCCGTGAAGAAACCCCCAAACCTCTTTGCCAAACCCTGCTTCGCGTTCTCCAACTCGACCGAGTCCAACTCAATCCCTGAACAAGTCACACTGTCTCACACCCTCCAATCCGACACTCTCAAGACCCTGGAATGGAGCTCCATCTGCAAGAAGCTCTCGAAGTTCACGTCGACCTCTATGGGTTTCTCCGTCGCGCAAAATGCACAAGTGCCCATAGGTCGGACCCAGAAGGAAAGCCAGAAACTTCTTGATCAGACTTCCGCGGCAAGGCTGATTTCTCAGCCTGTGGACTTTTCTGGTATCGATGACTTGACGGAGATTGTCAATGTTGCAACTTCGGGTCAGCTTTTAACGATGAGGGAGCTCTGTACGGTTTGCCGCACGCTGCGTGCTGCAAGAGAGTTGTTCAAAAAGTTGCAGGAGTTGAGTTCAGTTGCTAATGCTCCAGAAAGGTATTCTAGTTTCAGTTCTTAGAAAAAATTTCGTCCTTTACTTTTGACAATATTATTTGGTTTGGAATTTAAATTTAATAAATATAATTAAAATTCATATTGCCAAAATTAACTTAGAAGATAAAGAATCGAAGATTGATCATGTAACTTGAGGTGACGAAAGAATATAATTTTTTGGCCATGCCCTGAATTTTGGAATTGTGGCGTTTACGCTTAGAGATATTCTGGCTTCATTTTCCAAAAAAAAAAAAAAAAAATCTAGCAAAGATGTTTATATTCCAAGTTTTATGTTTGGGTTTCGGGGTTACAGTCTATGTCTCCTTTTAGAATGATAATATATTGAATATTCTCTATGAATTGACGAAAACTGTATTGTTTTAGATTTTATCACTTTTATATGTTGATTCTGAAAAGCAAAGCTTCATTTGGTAGTTTAGATGGCATGTTCTTCCAATCATATCTCTTCATAAGACTTCTATATCTCGATGAGTAGGACAAGAGGTAGAAGCCAACATCTTCAGATGATTTAGATACGTTTTAGCATGCCTATCATTACCTAGTTTGATATCTTCTGCAGAAAACTTTTTACGACTCTTTCATGTTCTCGAATCTGTATTGCACCCATTTCAAGAAGGGTGTTAAGAAGTTTTCCCTGAATGGTTTTTGCCCAGCATTCAAGGCAGTTCTCAGTCCAATTCGGACTGTAAGGATTTTCTTTGATGCATTTTCTATGGGGGTTCTGTTTTTCCTTGACAACATGTTGAGCATAGATCATATGGTAATGGATTCTTATGCCTTCATAAGGCCTTAAAAGAAAGTTTTATCTCAAAGGTACTCTTATATAAGGAGTATAATTCCCTTTTTTGACTTGTTCTTTTGACTTAAATGCTTCTTTGTTGGAAATTTCAAGATAGGGATCCGAATCAATATTTTAATCAATCCCATTATTTCCAATCAGGTACTTGCCCCTGCTTGAAATATTGCAGAATTGTGATTTCCTAGTTGAGTTGGCAAATAAAATAGAGTTTTGCATAGATTGCAATTTTTCTGTAATTCTTGATAGAGCAAGTGAAGACCTGGAGATCATTAGATCAGAAAGAAAGAGGAACATGGAAGTTTTAGACTCTTTCTTAAAAGAAGTATCATTTCAAATTTTTAAGGCTGGGGGTATTGACAAACCATTAGTCACACGACGTCGAGCTAGGTTGTGTGTGGGTGTCAAGGCTTCTCATAGACATCTGCAACCAGATGGCGTAGTTCTGAATGTTAGCAGTTCTGGGGCAACATATTTTATGGAACCCAAAGATGCAATAGATCTGAACAACATGGAAGTAAGGCTTTCAAATTCTGAGAAGGCTGAGGAAAGAGCAATTTTGAGCTTGCTTGCCTCTGAGATAGCAAGTTCAGAAACGAAAATAAAGTATCTATTAGATAGAATTCTTGAGGTTGACCTTGCTTTTGCAAGGGCTGCCTATGCTCAATGGATGAATGGGAAATGTCCAATTTTCAGTTTAGGGAATTTTGAAGGTGGTGATTACAATGGAGATGATGAAACTTTACTAGTTGACATCGATGGCATACGACATCCCTTACTTTTGGAGTCCTCCCTGAATAGATTTCCAGACAATCTTGATCTGAGATCAGGAGATGCTGACGAGTTGGGTAATAAAAATGCAGTAGTGGCTTCTAGAAATTTGTCACAAGCCATAGATGACTTTCCTGTACCTGTTGACTTTAAAATTGGTCGTGGAACCAGAGTGGTGGTGATCTCAGGACCTAATACTGGAGGGAAAACTGCTTCCATGAAAAATTTGGGCCTGACTTCGCTCATGTCAAAATCTGGAATGCATTTGCCTGCGAAGAGCTGTCCCAAACTTCCTTGGTTTGATCTTATATTGGCAGATATTGGAGATCACCAGGTAATTTGTGGACTTCTTTATTTCCAACAAGAACTTTTCCCTGGCATCATGTAGCTGTTTCATTTGTTTTCTAATTTTTTTCCCCTTTTGTTTCCCCCCTATTGAAGTCTCTAGAACAAAATCTCTCAACTTTTAGTGGGCATATCTCAAGAATCTGTAAAATTTTGGAAGTGGCCTCAAAAAAGTCACTTGTTCTCATCGATGAAATTGGCAGTGGAACTGATCCATCTGAAGGTGTAGCTCTTTCTGCTAGTATCTTGCAATATCTGAAGGATCGGGTGAACTTGGCTGTTGTGACTACACATTATGCTGATCTGAGTTGTCTAAAAGATAGGGATAACTGTTTTGACAATGCAGCAATGGACTTCTCTCTAGAAACATTACAACCTACTTATAAGATTTTATGGGGATGTAGTGGTGATTCAAATGCATTAAGTATAGCTAAATCTATTGGCTTTGATAATAATATAATTGAAGGTGCCAAAAAATGGGTGGAGAAGTTAAAGCCAGAACAGCAACAAGAGCGGAGAGGAATGTTGTATCACTCTCTGCAGGAGGAAAGAAACCGATTGAAATCCCAGGCTGAAAGGGTTGCATCTGTTCGAGCTGAAATTTTGAACATCTACTGTGAGGTACATTATAGGTGCTTTCGTAATTTTATCTGTACTTCTCCATTCTAGCTTGTTTTCCTTCAGAGCATCAACATGGGAAATGTTCCTTCTCAAGTTTATGTGAAATTTACATCCTTGTTAACTGAAAATATGTTATGTTAAAATTAAAAAGGTAAACAAACGGATCTCATTTGGCTTGGTATCTTAGTTGGGAATTCTTGACTCTTTTACTCCTGGCGGCCACACTTGGACATTATCCAGCAGGCAGTAAATCTTTTTTCCAGTTTCTGATTGTTAATCCTTCTCTGCAGAACTCAACTGCTCCAACTTTTTGAAGGATGGAGCACCTTTAATCTAGGTTAAGGCTTTCGTTTGGATTGTTATAATAGGATTTGCAGTAATTATCTGTTAGAGCATTACAGGAGGGTTCGTCTTGTAAGTCCATAACACTTGTGTTATGTGTCATAGATGCCCTAAAACAAAGCAATTTTTTCTCTCATTTTGAGGTAGCATGCCAATTTTGGAGAGTTTTCTTTGCTGTTTGGGGAGCACTGAATAGGCATGCCTAATTCAAAGGTCTTATTTTGTACCTCTTTCTGAGGTTTTGCAGTAAAATGGAGAATGAGGTGTTTTGGAATTGTGCTCTTGGAGATGGTATTTGGTGTCTTCACCTGCTTTGGGTTTTTCTTGCGCAGGCTTTTCTTCATTATATTCCTGCTATTCTGTGGGTTTCGGGTCGGCTTTCCTTTGTCTAATATGTGAAGAAACTATTACAAGTACGTAAATAAGTACATCAACTTTACCATACCCAAAAAAGGAAACAAAATAACTCACAATGTCTTGTTGCTGGAAAAAATTTCTTCACCGATTGAGTTCTTGAGTTTTCCAGTAAAGTTCTATTGTAAACAATTCTATTTGGAGTTGTTCATTTGTTTCCAATTTCTCTGTCTGTTTTCCTCTTTTATGGAATTTGTTTGTGAAGATCCAAGAGGAAGCAGAAGATCTTGAGCAACGTGAGAGGGCTCTTATGGAGAAGGAAACTCGACAGGTCCAACAAGAGCTACTGGATGCAAAATCTCAGATGGAAACTATAATAAAGAAGTTTGAAAAACAACTCAGAACTGTTGGTCGTGATCAATTGAATTTATTAATTAAGGAATCTGAATCTGCAATTGCCTCTATTGTAAAAGTTCATGCTGCTCCTGTTAATTTTCCTGGTAATGAAGCTGATCAGATTCCATATACACCACAATTTGGAGAGCAAGTTCGAGTTGAGGGCCTCGGAGGGAAATTGGGCACAGTGGTGGAACAGCCAGGGGATGATGAAACGATACTTGTACAATATGGTAAAGTGAAGGTCCGGGTGAAGAAAAGTAGCATCAGAGCTATTCATTCGAATGGAAAGAATTCTATATCTAGTTCTGTTGCACGTCTGGGGAGGCAGGTATGAGCTATCAGTACTTAAATGATTTCACATTTTAGTTGATATACCTGTTCCTTGAGAAGAGTAATTGGACCAACGTTAATTTAAAAAAGCCCTTTCGATCATGGAAAAAGCTAGTAGCTGGCATGGGGTTGACTAATGAGGGCATGAGGCCTATCATCCTCTGACGCGTTGACATTTTGGTATATGGGCCATTTTTATCTTTTTTGAATTGAAAATGATCCATCATGAGTTAATTGAGAAGTTATCGTAACAATTTTACTTGTATATCATTTTAGTAACAATAACATTGTGAACAACTTCCATGCGTGCTGAGGGACATGAGACGCACTTGATATGGTGATATAGAAAGCTTCCAACATAGTATCTTTAGTTGATCTGATTTATTTTGAACTTCACGTTTGGCCCTTCCATGGACATCTTGTGTCATTTTACTGAATCAATCGATTTCATTCCTACTCATTTAGTGTTGTTTGACTGCTTCACTCTTCCATGATTATCTGTTCCTTCAGAAGCCTGCACTAATGTGCTTGGCTTGGTATAATCAGGCCTCAAGAATGTGATTACCTAGGGGTTCATATTCCATCTTCTCTGTCATCTTTTCTGTTCTTATATCTTTCTGAATTCATACTATGCATTTATTTTTGTGAAAGTAGATAATGGCTAATAATATTGTTGATCCCCTTTTAAATGATGAGCCGGATCAATTATAGCAGAGTCGGCAGAACAGAGAATCGGGCAGTAATACAGAGACCATCAGCAATGGAGAGCCTTCCTATGGTCCAGTGGTGCAAACATCCAAGAACACAGTGGATTTGCGAGGTATGAGGGTGGAAGAAGCTTCTATACAGCTTGAGATGGCAATTAATGGAAGCCGTCCATATTCGGTTCTCTTTGTCATACACGGAATGGGTACTGGTGCAGTTAAAAATCGTGCACTTGAGATACTGACAAATCATGCCAGAGTCACTAATCATGAGCCAGCAAGTCCTATGAACTATGGTTGTACAGTTGCTTATATCAAGTGAATCAACCTTCATTTTTGTCTCTCGACCAGGTTGATTTCGCCTGAGGAACTGCTCTTAAATAGTAGTAAATCTTTTTTTAAGGCCAAAGGAAATATATAAGCATGTTTTTTTAATAAAAAATCAATCAAATATTTATAACTTATGCAAAAATGCGTGTTTGCCAATGCAAAATCGGAACCCTGAACCTCAGTTCTATAGGGGCGCGTCACTGAGGCAATAGTCGTTGGCGGAATTAAAAACTAAAAAGTGCACTGATACATAGGTGTATGACTGAGGTCCATTTGCTTGTTAGAATATAATTAAATGGAATGGATTGAAAAGATAAAAATAAAAATAAGATGATTAAAGAGAATAGGTAAGTATAGTCATAAAAAAGAGTGGTAATTTAGTTCAAATCATGAATCATGAAATTTTTGAAGAGCATGATGATTTTTACATTTACAATATATATTAATAAGTTTTATTATGCTTATCATAGTTGATCTAGTTCATTTTTGTATTAATTTTTTTAATCTAATCCAATCCATTCTATTCTGTTAAGCAAACATGACCTAAAGGATACATTAATGGGAATGTTACCTATAGGATACAAGCTGGGTGTTGTAAAAGAATAAAAGCTGAAAGAGTTATTTGTATTTGGAAGATACCTAATAAATTTAAAGAAAAATTTTATCGAACTGCTATATGACCTAACTATATTATATGTTAGTAAATGTTGAGTTTTAAAAGACTAAGAGTATAAAATTAAAGTAGTAGAGATGAGAACGTTGAGGTGGATATGTGGATATACATGAAAAAAAAAATGAAATGAGCATATATAAAAAAAAGTGAAAGTAACACCTATTGTGAAAAAAATAATAGAAAATCATTTAAGATAGTTTGGATATGGATAGAGAAGGCTATGAGACTATGAGAAGCATTGGCAAGGAGAGTAGAACAGATAACCTTGAGCCAAAAGATCAAAGAGGACCCTCATCGAAATTATGGAATGAGACTTCTTAGTTACTAAAATTTCTAGAAGCTTAGTTGATGATAAAGTATAATGACATCATATAATTCATGTAGCCGACATCATCTAATGGGATAAGGCTTATTTGTTATTGTTGTTGTTACACATTGGTGTATGACTAGTTGTTTAAATGTCCAATATTGTAAATAGTTTTTAATAAAATATTATTTTAAATATAATAGTTAACTATTTTAGTTATAGAGAAATTGCTATAAAAAACCTTATCGCCAAATTAATTGCTAAAAAGGAGTCGGGAACTTTTAGAGAATGAGGTTCTTCGTTGACATTAATTGCTGAGGGCTAAATGACATAAATGCCCTTCATGGTAAAAAAAAAGTAAAAGTGGAATAAAGTCCTTTGTTGTCAATATTTCATATAAGGTCATTCGCTATTAATATGTTGTAACATCCCGAAATTTTAAGACTCGGATTTATAAAAATAAAATAAAATAAAATATCTATAATTAAATTAAAATTTAGAATAATTTGATAGAGGTCCAGAGTTTGAATTTTTCTAAGCAAAAGTTTAGTTTTATTTGATTTTTAACTATGGGAAAAATTACCAAAGTTAACCCGGGCTTTTGTGCAATAATAAAAAATGTTGGGCCATTTCTTGTAATTTTCCCCAAACTTTTAGATCAGCTTTTATAAGGGAAAAGAGACGCAGAAACGCAGAGAAAGGAAAGAAGAACAAAACGTAGAGAGAAAGAGAGAGAGAGAGAGGAAGAAGAGAAGAGAAAGGGAGGGAGTTAGGCTTGGATCTAGGAGTCTTTGCGACCGTTGCGAGCTCGGCTACACGATAGGTAAACTCCCTACTTCAATCCTCTTCTCTTTCTCTTGATTTTCTTCAATTTTTGGAAGAGGAGATTTTTGGATTTTGATTTCAAAGGCTTTATTCTTGTAAGCTTTTATTTCTTTGGATCCTAGGGAGCATGTTTTGAGTTTCTATATAGTGATCTAATATTTTGAGTGGATAATTGGATGAAAAGAGGTGTTTTGGGTACAAAATAAATCCTGAGAAATTGGGTTTTTGCTCTTCAATGGTTTAAGCTTATTGATTTAGTTATAATTTTGCTATTTGAGCCCAATAAGATTTAAATTAAGGTTTGGTTTTCATTATAAGGGCTAATGATGAAAGTTGGTGGCACTAAATAAAGGTTTTTAATTGATTAAAAATTTTATATAAATTAGAAATTTAGCCTAGTGATGGCTAATAAATGGTTTTGGTGGTTAAGTGATACTATGTGAATGGTTGGTTAAATATATGGACCATTGGGATGGATTATGGCTCATAGACCCAAGTTGTGTGGTATGAGTTATAGTCTTCATTGATGCTATTTGTCATGATAAGTGATGTGGATCACTTATATGTTGTAGAAAATTGTTGGTGGAACTTATTGAAAAGTAAGGAACAAGCCGAGCCCTATTTTGTACAAGGGGAACCCTTTTGGTACCAAAGGGTTGAGGTAACAGGGGAATTTATATTTTTTATTACTTTGTTTTAGCTATTTTTGAATAAATATTACTAGTTATCATGCATTACATGTTTTAAAAGATTAAATGTGCTTCATAAGAGGTTATGGGGTACTACTTTGATTATAGTGCAAATATGTTTTCTAATTGTTTAATAACAATGTTTTTATGGAAATGAGATTTATAAATATCATACTACTTTAGAGTGTTAAATGGTCAATACTCAGGAAAGGTAGACAAGAGTAAAAGGCATGATCTCGGTGGGAGTTCACCAATGAGAAGGTGTGGATTTTTGATATTCTATGGCATACTGTCAGTACTCAGTGTTGTCTTACGTATTGTGGGCTCAGTGCACTAAATTGGTTAGTGTATTGAGTGTTCGACACCTCTCAGTGGGGGAGAGAATCCAACATATGAAGTGTGAGGTTGAGTACCTTGGCCAAGGTAGCCCTCACATGGAAAGTAAGTTGGGCTGGCTCTGGGAGGGAGTTAGCTTTAACTGCTTATGATTCACGTCGAAGGGGCATAGGAGGTTCGGTGGATTAGATCATGCCTTAGATTATGTTTTATACCTGTGGAGGTACAAGTAGGTATAAGGTTTACCTGCGAGTTAAAGAGTGCCAGGGGGCATTCTGTTGGTCATGAAAGGCCATACCGGCTTAGGTCATGCATTCATGCATTTTAAATGGCTAAATTATATATTATGTCGAATTTATTATTCGTTTATTTGATTATGGATTACTTTGTAATAATCAATGTAGATTTCACTGTTACTGAGACTGTGGTTGTCTCACCCCTTTCTTTTCAATATTCTAGGTCCAGGCGAAAGATCCAGTGGTGGACGGGGAAAGGAGCAAAGCTAGGGGTTTACTTGTAATTTGTAAAGAACTGCAACCCCTTTCTTTTGAGCAAATATATTGTAATGTATTTAAGATTAGGGTGTCAGTAGGATATGATTATGTATGTGTGTGTGAATATGTGTGGATTGTGTGCTTGTGTATGAATTTTTGTCTGTTTGCAGACTTGTGGCTAGGAAACTTGGTTATGGTGTGTGGTTTTGATGGATTTACTTAGTAGACTAAGTTTCTATTACAAGCAGATCTTTATTTTAATATATATGTGATTTTATAAGCAAATGCAAAGTGGTTGCATTGTAAATGATGTGCTATGGGCAAACATACACCTTGGATAGAGAGAGTGGGTGCGTGGGCCCCACAAGGAGCTCTGAGCCAAGTGAAAATATTTAGCATATGTATTTATATAAATACATGGTATTTAGATTGATTTGTGACCACTCTTGTATGATTTGTGCATTTTGGGGGTTTAGGGTCCATTTTGGGAAATGGCACCCGGGTGGTCAAATTTTGATGTATGGGGGTTTTCCATTATTTGAATGTTCTTTCAGGTGTTTTTAGTCTTATTTGACGTGTCCAAAGTGTTCCCACAGGTTTGTGACCATTAGGATGAGATTTGGACAAATTTGAAAATGGTTTTTACCAAAAAGCTGCACTTTTGCATCCGGGTGTCCAAATCTTAATTCGACCGTTGGATTTCTCTAAAATTTGGGTCACAAGTAAAACCTTTTACAAGCTTCGTGTGGGCTTTGGAATCACGTCAATCGAATATCAAACGGAGAAACGACGTACTTCGGAATTTGGTCTGGAGGTGCTGTCATGACAGCATTAAATTACTGTCATGACAGCTACAGTGTTGATATTGTAATCTGCATAAAATTCAATCCGTCCGTTGGATCTTTTTAAAATTTAGTATGCTAATAGTATTATTTAAAAGTGACATGCGGGCTTTGGAATCACTCCAATCGGAGATTAGATGATGAAATGATGTACTCTGGAAGTGCTGTCATGACAGCTTTTTAGCTGTCATGATAGCAAAAATAACCAATTTTTTAACATGTCTAATTTTCAATCCGACTGTTGGATCTTTTTGAAATTTGGTATACTTATAGTACCCTTTGAATGTGATGTGTGAGCTTTAAAATCACTACGATCGAAGGTCGAATGATGAAACGGTGCCTCCCGAAAGTTAGGCCAGGAGGACTGTCATGACAGCAATTTAATGCTGTCATGACAGCATTTTTTTTATTTTACTTTCGTCTAGCTTAGTTCCGCGCGCTATAGGTAGAACCTATAAATTTTTTTAAAGACTTTAAACGTTTACTTTTCAATTGTGTATTTGCTTAGTGATTTAAATGGTTTGTTTCCTAAGTTGGTTTTAGGATTAATTCCTTAACCACACTTAGTTTATTTGAATTGTGTGATTTTTGGATAACACTCGGGGCAAGTGTTACATATGTCACAAGATCTTTTGCTGTCAATAATTTCATATACATTTAGTATAAGGTCTTTTAGTATCAATATTGAAAACAAGGTCATATGTAGGGGTCTTCAATCATATGTATTAATTTTTTTTGAAAGTCTGCCCAAGATGAGGGTGAGTTGAACTTTATAAAGGCTGATAATAATAAAATTAAGGAGATGAGTTCAGAACAATATCACCAAATACAACTAGGAGAAAGGAAGATAAGCTTACATAGATATTTATCTTGATTCAGTTTCAACTACTTGAACCTACGTTTAGT